TGTAGAAGGGAACCACTGAGATAATAGGCAAAAAAATTAGTCTGAAGTTTGCAGTGTAATTGGCTGGAAAACCCCCGTCGCACATGGTACTGTGCAGGCACCGTTGCCTCATTAGCTGTCACTGGATAACTGTGATCAAGCGTCCGCATTCGTTTGCTCTCGGGTTGGCCTGCAGCGTCTGAGAGCAGCGGAAGGGGAAGGGTTGTGGCAGAGCTGCAGATTCAGCCTGGGCCAGGCAGCAACATTTTTTTAGTAGCTCTGCGCTCCTCGACCGTGCTTCTGACCCACAAGGGGAGCGCCTGGTATCGCCTGTTCCCTGGGAGCTCTGGCGCGTGGGATTTTACCCTCCTACCTCATCTGCTTGGGGAAGCAGGAGAGTGAGGTTAGAGACGCTGCGGCACCTTGAAACCTGGGCTCCTGTTCCGAGTGGCGTTCTTCTCACCGTGGAGCAGGGTGGGATGGGGTGCTTCTCTCCGTCTCTGTGTAAGCCGTTTGCAGTTTGGGTCTTAGGAGGTGCTTGGTACCCATTTTTTGAGCCTGTGGTTTGCAAGCGAAGGGTGAAGCGTTGGGTCAGATTTTAAGGCAGACGGATATGTTTCGGGCGTTGGCAGAGAGACGAATGGAGAGAATGATAGATGAGCTAACATGCTCTTGGAGCTTTGGAACTAGTTACAGACTAAATTTTGCCATTTGGCCTTTTGTTTTTGTAGTGTTCTCTCACTGATAATTTACCTGAGAAGTTGCTTGTTGCTGAAGTGTTCAAGGCCAGGCTCGACAGGACTTTGAGCACCCTGGGCTGGTGGAAGGTGTTCCTGCCCATGGCAGGGGGGTGGAACTAGATGATCTGTAAGGTCCCTTCCAACCCAAACCAGTCTAAAATTCTATGTTTTTCTTCTGCGTGGAATGACTGCTGATGCATAACAGAAGCTTCAGAATCTTTCCCAAGGGTGCAAGTGCCCTGTTTGTGGACGGTGTTGATGATGTCTTGCAAGGACAGACATTTCCATGGGAAGCCTGGGGGTCTCAGAAGTCTTGGTGGAAGAGATCTTGGAGGTCTCCAGCCCAGCCGTCTACTCAAAGCGGGGCTGTTGCCAGTGCTACGTAAGATCAGCTGTGGCTTTGGCTGAGCCTTAACCACCTCGAAGATGGAGTGCAGGAGTAGCTCAGGAGTGCTCTTGCAGCTGCACAGCTTGATGTTAGAATCATAGAGTCATCTAGGTTGGAAAAGACCTTTAAGATCATTGAGTCCAACCATAAACCTAACCCTGCCAAGTCCACTGCTAAACCATGTCCCTGAGCGCCACATTTACACATCTTTTAAATACCTCCAGGGACGGTGACTCCATCACTTCCCTGAAGTTGCCACACTCCAGCTCCCGACTTTACATTTCTGTTTTGCCCCAGTACCAAGTCCTGTATTTTGCCCAGACAGAAAGATGGTGGGTGCAAGGAACATCCATGAGGCACTTGTCCTCCTGTATGGGTGAACCGTGATGGTCATCCCTTTGTTCTTCATAGTGGGGATTGCGTGCTAATTGCACAGCTCTTCTGTGTGACCATCGCCGGGAGGAGGACAGTTTGGGCAACTGCCACCCCAGCCTGGTGTCTAAGGCTACAGCCTGTACTAGGCAGGCAAGCATCTGGAAATAGAAGAAACCTCAACACTGCATGTTAGACTATAATGACGCAGAAGGTTAAACCTTGCTTCTTGCACAGCTCAGGCTGTGCCGCTCCAAAGCATTTTGCATTTGACTGTGCTGAAATTTAGTCCCAGGGAGATTAAATTACTCTTTCTTCATCGTTCATATTGATCTTCTCATGCTGGCTGTGGGTGACAAATGGACTTCCCACTCGTTCCAGCTCTAGTTGCTCTGGGAGGAACGCTGTAGCTCGGTTAATCTTTTCCCCTTTGGAAGGAGGCGTATGAAAGCACTGGGGGAATATCCTGGCTACACAGGCTGGGATATGCGGCTGCGTCGAGTAGCAAAGCAGAAGGTTGTTTTGGAGGTCAAAGCCATTTTGCACTTGGATGTTTAATGGCTGTTACGAGTGTGGTCTTTCGTGGCAGCTTGAACTGGAGAGGGATGTTCTGAGGTTGAGCGCCTCTGAAGGAGGAGTACAGTGGACGTGATGCCTTGGCGTGGAGAGTCTTCCCCGTTGCAGCAAGTCTTCATCTCCTCCCCCAAGAGATGCTGGTGTGCTTCCAGGCTGAGAGACCGCCTGGCTGCTGGGTTCTGTTGGCTTGGCTTGCGGAGGAGGTGGGTGGCTGTTTCGTCTCGCTGTTTGTGAGCCTCTGCCCTGGACTGTCCGTTGGCAAATACCAGCCTGGCTGTGATGGACCTTGGAGAGGTTGCTCTACCAACCTGGGGAGAATGGATGGCTGGGGAAAAGCTGATACTACTCTCTTGAGTCACAGGTCTTTTAGGTACAGGAGAACACGCACAGCAGCAGGGTGTTACAAATGTGCTGGAGATAGGAGCCTGGAGCTGGTATTTACTGTGTACCAGGGAGTTCATGCCTTGACCAAAGTTTCCTTTCCTGTGTGGGCTGCAAGCAGAAAGTTTTTCCCTGGTTGGAATATTCATAGGTTTTCTCTCTTACCTAGGCCTTCATGTGTGATAAGGGTTGCGCTACCCTGCCTGGTTGATTCTTATTATATTTCAGTAAAATCTCAGTCATCCACAGGACCTGAATCCATCAGAGAACCAGGAACTGCTTTTGTGGAGTGTTGTGGGGGTCTCTGAAATAAGGTTGTCCAGTAATCCAAACACTGGCATAGTTGGTGCTTGAGAACTTAGGGCTAAGGTGGGTGAAATGAGTATTAGCATCAGCATCCGAGCTGTGGTAACTCACAGATAGCAGCAGTCAGAACCAGAGTAGAAGGCTGGGGTGATGGCTGGCACTGGGGTAGAGACACCTTCTTCCCTGGGCTACCAGAAGGGGTTTAACTTAGGGTGGGTGGACACAGTGGTCCAGTTCCTATGTGCATCACAAAAACAAGGCCAAGTTTGTTGCAGGTGCGTTTCATTTTCTTTTTTTTTTTTGTTTTAACAGAGAAGTTAAAGACTAAAATAGTCCTGGGCTTGTAGTCCAGCTCTGTTTTCCTCTTTGGCCAGGGAGAGCTGAGGTGTGTTAACCAGGAAGCCCCCACTGCTGTGGCAGTGGGTTTATGTTGGTGTCACCTGAAGCTGCGGGAAAGGCAGCCGCAGGAAAACAGCGGTATATTGATATTGAACTGCTCCTTCTTTCCTTGGCCTTTAACCATTACCCCTGTCTTTCTTTCTCTCCTTTGGTGCCTTCTGTGATGCTTGGATATGCAGAGCGGCAAGGGCTTTTGGAGAATATCTTTCACAAAACCATCCTGAAGGTAGAAACGGCTCAGGTAAGAGAATTGATGTACCTTGTGAATATCTGTGCGTGCATGCGCCTGTTTACAGGTGCCTTAGAACAAAAGTGCATTTATTTATCATATAAAGGGTTGGTGTGAGATCCCGGCAGCAGAGAGGCGGGAGGAGTCACCCTGTAGATCTGTGAAGCCCTTGAGGACAAAAGGCGGTTTGGTGATGCAAGGGTTGGGTGGACTGTGGGGACAAGTGCCCTGTCATCAGTTTATCCCTAGAGCTGATGTCCTGGGAAGAAGTTTCAGCTGGGAAGTGAAAGACTGCACTGTACAAGGCTTCTGCACTGGTTTGTCCCTCCTAGGTCTTGCTTACACTGGGGAATAAAAAAGGTGAGGTATAGTGTGTTAACTGATGTGCTTAGTGCTTGTGAAGCGATCTGGCTTTGCTGGCGAAGGTAACAACTGGATTTATTCCCAGGGTTTCCTTTCAACAAGGGTTAAAATAAGATTTGGCTTGTCTGGTTGAGGACACCAGCATGTGCTAGCTAATGCATTAATTTTTTAGATGCAGATATTGTTCCTGTCAGCTTATGATGAGCTCTACTTGGTGGGCAAGAGAGCACAAGAGAAACTCGCAGAAAATCCTGTGTGAACAAGCAGCAGACTGTTCTGTAGCACTGAACTGTTTTGCAGGGGATACAGTTATTAAATAGAACATAATGGAGCGTGGTTTTAGGTAAGCTGTAAGTGTGTGTGTTTAAACCTCTACAGGCAGGAAACGCCTCTTGCTAAAGAGCAAGCCCAGTCGCACTGGTCTTTGACAGCCAGCTGAACGAGTCACTGCCTTTTTTCTTGGATCTGATCTAACGACCTTCAAGTTGGCCTTGGCTGAATTGGGCTAACTTTGTGAATGGAAGGGCTTTAAAACAGTGTACTGTTTGTTTTTTTCAGGCATGAGAAGCTCCAGTGACACATTACTTAGAATATGTGGTTTCAGAAGAACTCGTGGTGGGAGGAAGGGAAGGGCAGCAAAAGGCTGGGGTTTAGCGCAGCTGAGGTGACGCGTCCGCGAGGCAGAGGGAAGGACGGGGTTGGACAGACAGTGCAGAGACGGGCTGGGCAGGTCTGAGGAGGCTTCCCAGAATGGCAAAACCAGCCTTTGTCATGGCCATTTCCGCAGCTGCTGCTGTCAGCTGGTGTCTTTGCTAGCCCTTTTCTGCAGTCCCCAGCCCCAGTTCCCAGCGGGGGGAAGTGTGGGCTCCTGCTCGCTTTGTGGTGCCCTTACCTGTGGGGCCATGGTCGGGCCAGAGAGAATCCCTGGAAAGGGCAGAGCTGTTCGGGGAGCCCTGGTCAAAGCCAAGGAGCAGGAGCCTCTCTGGTGCCCGTTTACAAAGCTGTCATTTTACTCAGCCTTGTGCGTGCTCCCAGTTGCTCGTTCCTCTCTCTGTAGGTAAGGAGAACATGGAAATGGAGCTGATGTGACTCCTGGATCATGTGCCGCTGTCACACTCCCCAAAGCAGTGTTTAAGCCCGCTCTGTGCTCGTAACTTATCCGTAAGCTCTCCAGGGAAGCCTTCTCATACCCACTGACCCCTTGGTGTTTCAGGCTCGAGATCGTATTTGGATCCAGGCGACTTTAGTTGCTGCAGATCAGAATCAAGCAGTGAGAGGTACACATGGATGTGCCACAATCCTTATGGGATCCTGAAATATTGACTTGGAAATAAATAAAGTTCCCTAGAAATTACTCTAAATGTTATAGAAGAGGGAAAAAAAGGATCATCATTTTTTAAGTCATCTTTTTGAAATTCTGCAGTGTATAATTTAACACAGTCTGTAACATTTCTTTATAAATAACCATGGTGGGAACACTGCTAGCCTATAAAAATGTTGAGAGTAGAAAATTTGGCTCCCTTTTGTTCATCTCAGTAGTCCAGTAACAGAGAAGTCCGCTCTTTCCTTCCTGCAGAAATTCTGTTTATCTTGGTATCGCTTTCACAAGTTTCTGAACGCTTCACCTTTGGCTCGGCAGAGCGCTTAAGCTGTGTGATTACCTTTCATCCAGTGACTCCGGTGAAGCAAATGAAGGGCCTCTTCTGCGTAAGCTGAAGATGTAGCACATATATAGAAGTACCTGAATCTGTTCCAAGTCATCAGCTTGGCTGAAGAGAACAGGGAGAGGCAGTGTTATGACTGTACAAGCCCACCAGTATCCTGTAGTAAGTTCCTGCTCGCGCGGGTTGGTGGCTTGGGTCCAGAAAGCTCGGCAGACTGAAGAGTTGAGTCCTCGGTGCGTGTGTGTCTCTGTTCGTGGCACTCTGGGCTTTCACCGCGACTGTCTTTACCTGGTGGGATAGGCCCGCTTCCCACTGTGATAACCCCAGCTGTAGGCGTGGCTACTCCCTGCGCTGCCAGCAGGCTGCTGCTGGGATTAAGGCTCTAGCCTAAACGTGAATGGAAAGACGCAGGCCTTGACTTCAGTTGTTTACAGTCCAGAAAAAAAAAAAAGTTGAAGAAAGGTGTAAAGCCATTGATGAATGCCGGGAGGGAC